TTGGAAATTCTGAGAGTGGATGGTGGGAGCTTTGCAGGGAGTTGTTTGAAGTTAAACTGTAATTTCCAGGGGAGTCAGTGATTCAATGCAAAAAAAACCTTTTGCAAGAGGGGTATGGCCATTTTCCAGAACAGCACACCGTAGTGTAATGGATGCCTCAATGCAGAGGGAGGAGACAATTCCTGGACAGTTTGCAAAGCTTGCCAATAATACGGGAGCACTACATGTATTTTATCTACGGGCATCTAAGTGTAGACCACAGTGAAGGACTGTCAAGGTCAAGGATCCACCCACAATTACATGGGCAGGTTTAACACACNAACTGTAATTTCCAGGGGAGTCAGTGATTCACTGCAACAAAACCTTCTGCAAAAGGGGTATGGCCATTTTCTAGAACAGCACACCGCCAGTGTAATGGATGCCTGAATGTAGAGGGGGGGAATTCCTGACCAGTTTGTAAAGCTTGCCAATAATATGGGAACACTATTTTATCTGCGGGCATCTGCGTGTAGACCACAGTGAAGGACTGTCAAGGTCAAGGATCCACCCACAATTACATGGGCAGGTTTAACACACAAAATGGCAAAATAACAATAAACTATTTTGCAATAATATGACATGAGTCAGTAAGCCAGCCTAAATAGCACCCGAGTTAACCTAAATAATTATGACTGGCTCGACAATGGTTTGCTCTCAATAATAGTAACAGGAGTTTCATTAAGGGCCAGGTACCAGACAAACGGACCAGCTGTGAGGACCATTTTGCCTACCTGGTATGACCATCTAGTGGAAAGTTTTTCCTATAAAGAAATTCACTCCAAATATTTTTGCCAGCTTGTGAAAACCAGTTGCCCTCCCACTGGAAACATCAATGAAAACCCTGATTGTAAGGGTAACCCTTACAAGCACGCGTATCCCACATTGACTCTTACTTGCAGTGCCATTTGGACATTTCATGTTTTGAACATGACGCAGTCACACTTATGCAGGAACATTCGTTTCCATCAAACTTTATCATACCTCTTCTACACTGTGATGAAAAGCTACAGAAGTGTCAAGAAGTATTCTTACTTTCAGATTTAGCAGGCAAAAGGGGCCATTACTTTCGGGTAGCTGTTACGTTCAGGTAGCCGTTACTTCAGATTGTTATAATCATTTGTACAGTAACAGTCCTTTCAGGCAAAGTGGACGCAGAACACATGAAATTAAAAGTTCCATTTATGTATGTTTTACTAACTACCCACCTACACAAAGCAAACTGTATACACAAAAAAATACCCTAAACTGTAGGCCAAAAGTATAATAGTCGCATTATATCACAATTGACAACACAGCTGATTACACCATGGTATATCATTTGACTCTGCTGCTATTTAGACCATTACAGCTTATAAATCATAGTTTCAAGAAAAATTCACTTAATTTCGAAATAAAATCAGAAATAACTCTTCAAGTTGTTCAGTTCTGCAGTCAGGCTGTTCCATCCTCATTGCACTTGAAAACAGAGAGTTTCTCTTTTAGTGACTTCTTCAAAGGGCCGCTTCTTTCAGATGGGCCATTACTTTCAAGGGGACCGTTATTTTCGGGGTTCAATAGGAAGTTAAAAAATTAACATTACTTTCGGGGCGCTGTTATTTTCAAGGGGGCATTAATTTTGGAATTCCACGGTACTGAAATTTGGCCATTAGCAGGCTAATAATTATACATAACCCCATCCAGCCAATTTGCATTGTCTCATTAACACTATCAATTTGACGATAATGATACATCCGTATCTATGTAAAATACTCCAAGATGGAGAGAGACTTCTGATCAAAACCATATGACCCAAGAACCTGGGTAGGAAATCTCAACCATCGAGATACATGCCCTCCATTTATTTTCAAATAATTTTGGTCAGGAATCTAATTATATCTCTCTCCGTATCTCCAGGCAGACCAAAATTTGCAATTCCATTTTGACAGCACAATCATTTTCCCATTGACAGATCTTGGCAGGTGTAGGAAATTGAGAAAAGGAATGTGAAGTTTGGCCCTAATAGCCCATTCCTAGGGTGGCCAATTTTACACAAGCTTGTCCGAGTTGTTGATCTGTTCAAAATATTA